GGCTCTCTTGAGGCTTCTCGTGGAGGTATGTTGGAAGTGATTGGGGCCGTGGGGGCTGGATCAGCGCTATGTTGAAGGCTTTGCTGCTGTTATGTTACTTGTTTTGCGGCCATGTTGGTCCACTTGACTGCTTTTTCTCTGCCCCGTTTGACTTGGCAGGTGGTCTTTTGGGTACTGTGCGTAAAACACCATAAATCCATGAAACATGAGGTCCGACAAGTGTAAGAAAGGTGGTTTTGACAGTTTTTTGTCGTTTTTGTTGCTTACGAAAGCTTGCTCCAATGGGCAGTCAAATTTGGGGCATGTTTGCGCCAATCTTCGGCGATTTTGGTGCATTCTTAGGGCATATCCTTCTCCATGTTGGCACGTTTCGCCCAATGTTGGGGCTCTCTTGAGGCTTCTCGTGGAGGTATGTTGGAAGTGATTGGGGCTGTGGGATCTATGTTGAAGGCTTTGCTGCTGTTATTTTACTTTTTTGCGGCGATGTTCGTCCACTTGGCTGCTTTTTCTCTGCCGTTTGACTTGGGCAGGTAGTCTTTTTGCGTCATGTGTGTATAACATCGTAAAAACTGGACAGACTTAGGTCCGACAAGTGTATGGTTTCTCTGCCGTTCGACTTGGGTAGGTGGTCTTCTGCGTAGTGTGCGTAAAACACCGTAAAAACCGTGAACAAATTAGGTCCGACTACCCTGCAGCAATAAAATGTTGCTGCTCCGTCTCCCGGTGTGGTTTAGGGACGTTTGGAATTCCTTTGGTATTTCCTTCTTGGTTGTTCCTCTCACAGGTTGCAAGACACTGGGTGTCACTAGGAGTTAGTACTATTCCCTCCTTTTCTACATAGATGGAGGGAGCAATTCCGGATTAAAACGCGTACCATTCCAGAGAATGCAAGCCCCCTAGACATTCAGGCTTCGTCTTCGAAGAGGACATCTGAAGGTCGGTGGGTATCGATGCCTGATTCCTCTTTTTGTATCGAAGAATGGAAACCGCTATGAACCTCACTTCGAAAAGTTTGGCCGTCCGTATCGACTGGTCCCCAACTGCGTCCTGCTGATGTCGGTGCCGTAATGCTTCGCTGCAGGGTGTTTCTTGACCAAACTTGAAAGCATGAAGCCAACGTTGCAAGACACATCCAGCAAAGAGTCATATTTCCTCAGTGCAACACGACATTGGAGAAGAATGGCCTGCGTAGGAGGTGAACATCTTAGGGGCACCTTCAACTTTTATCAATTAAAGACCCACAGCGTCCAAACAGCAAAGTTTGCTGAATGTGAATCTGCCGAACTTTGCTCCTAACCTCCTGAAAAGCACCGCCTAGCTCTGGAGAGAACAACAAACCCAGGGTTGCAAGGAGGAGTCTCCAAACATGGATCGAAAGGTGACAGCTGTAGAAGATGGAATCACTGCTTGAAGCTTCTTGAACTGAACTACCAGAAGCTGGGATCATTTGAACGATCAACAAGTTCAAGAACAAGGTGTGGTACACTAGTTACTCCGAGCACTCCTGCTCTCCTTGCCTTCATGAAGGGTTGGTCCTAAGGGCATACTCTTCTGATAAGAGATGTTGAGACCCACCGCAAGGCTGAAGTCGAGCCTTTTTGTCGAGGTTGCTATCTGTTGTTGGGTCAAGCTGGTTCAAGCGATGTAGCAAAAGACACATGTTTTATTTTTTGACAATGCCTACTCTTGATATGATGCCTTTGAACATCCTTTTACTGTTTCTGAATTTCTCAGTTCTTATCTTGCCCTCTAGCGGCTCAGATCAGCTTTGGATTTCTGAAAGCCAGTCGTGTGAGACACACATCAATTGCATCTTCATCGGCAAGGCGCAAAAGCGTTCGGCAAAGCGCTTCTTGTAGCTGGATCAATGAATACTGTTAAACACCTTTCACCGATATCGATTTGCTTGTTGCTGGGGGATTCAAATACAACCCGATCTAAAGATGCAACGCAACTGCTGAGCCATGTCACTCCAAGGACTTCAAGGAATGAAGGTGCAACTCAGGAGTCCAGAAAAGCCAACCACTATTTTGGAAAATGACATCAACGTCAAAATGGCATCAAAGGCGCAGCTCTTCTAGACTTCCCAAAACCGCGTGGTGCGTCAGTCTGTGAGATTTCCGGAGCACCACACCCTTCCTGCGGATAAAAGAATCCAAAGCAAAACATGACCCACAAAGACTTAGAAGGCATAAAACAAAGCAGAAACCAAGGTTCAAAACCAAGCTCCGGTGCTTCGGTCCTTCGATTTGGAGCAGTGCATATCAGAAAAGCTATTGAGACAGCTCGCTTTGAGGAAACCGTGAGATTGCTCCAAGTTTGAAAGGGGTTCAAGATGTGCAAGTGCATCTAGCCGCTAGCCTTTCTAAAGCAGTCGGGGTTGACAAACAACTGCACAACAACTGCACAACGTTGTTATTTGACTCTATTTTCTTTTAGCGACATCCATCTCGTCTACACCTTCTTGGTATTTTGTTTTGTGTATCCAAGAGATCTAGTTTTCACTTTCACTTGATCCCGAGCTTGCTCCCCTTCATAAAAAAATGTTATACAGTTATACATGCCTTTTTCATCCCAAGTTCCTTTTGAGGCTTCAAGTACTGCTTAAACTTAAACTTAAATCCTTTGAACATCTCTGGATTAAAGTCCACTTCATCACAAAATTCCTGAAACAACATTTCACCCCAAAAGACTTCTGAATCCACCTTCATGTCATCCGGAAAAAGGTATCCCAAACACGACCGATGGGACTGGCATGTTTACTTACATTGACCCCGGAATTCAACCACCCCAATGTAGGCAACTATGCCAGTCCCATGGCATCATGGAGTGTCTGGGTACTTTGAGAAATTACCAGCACCGACCAACAAATCGGAAGTCTAAAACAAATCTCAACCAAAAGGTCGATCTACCACCGGAAATAAAACCTTCGCCAACCCAAGGAAGCGGAGGAATCTGTTCGGTCGAAGGTGTTGTTGTCACTCCCACGAACACCTTAGATGTGTTCGTGGGCCCACCCTCTCCGAGGAAAGATGAGGAATCACCTGCATTTATTTCCGCCCATGCCATCCCATGCCATCCACTTCCATGGAACGTGAGGTTTTTCAGAGTTAGCACTGCATGAAACTTCCACTGCAGAAAATTGACTGCAGAAACTGCCTGCAGCTGACCGCGCCTGTCCCGCAGGGGTTCCACGTTGACAACCCCAGTCCATTTCGGCCCACTTTGTTTGGAATACATCTGCGTTCCAAAAAAATCATTTGAACTAAGAGTTGAGTTTTTTGAACTTATCTTTTTAAACTATTCCAAGTTGCTTTCAACCTTCAAATTTCAAATCCCTTATTGTTGCAAAACTGCTTAAACACTCAAAACACTCAAATACTTTTTGCGGTCAAGAAGAACTGGAACATATATGTAATGCAATTCTTTATGCAGAATACCTTCAACAATTATCTATATTATACAAACAATAGACTTGTTTGTAAGTTATGGTGCAGGCTCCTGAAACCATGGATCAAACTCCGAAGGAAAACCCTGAACGAGAAAACCAAACCAAACGGTCACAGTGAATTATGAAAACAGGAAAAACTGAACTCCCAAACGTTTCTTTGAAATGTCCCGTGCCCAAGCAAAAAGTGAACAGGCGATTACAAGGTGCGGGAAGAATTGGATTGTGATTTCCGATGCGTACCAGTGTGATGCCTGCAGTCTCACGCTCTGCAGGAAAGCCAAGTCGTGTAAAGCGGTCCAAAGGAATTATTCGACTGGTTTTGTTCGAACTTGGTGCGTCTCGCTGATCCTTGTGACTTTGCGGTGTTTTCGTTTAAGCGCTTTGTGGATGAAATGAGTTGGTCTTCTTATGATTTTTGGCTTGGTGCGCTTTTGGCTTGTGGTATTGCTGCTTGTATGTAAGGGGGTTCTGTGCCTCGCACCACTAACAAAAGTGAAAAGCCTAAACTCCTAACTGGTTGGAAATAGAAGGGATAGCGGCTAGCGGGTAGTTGCACGTTTTTCAGCAAACCACAAATTATTTTTCCTTCTCATATCTTGACCCGCCTCATGGAATTCAACACCTTCTCATTGTACTACAAGATGGTTTTGAGATCTAACGACCCTTGTTGCTGGTATTGCACCACCATCCATTGTGTTTTATACGCTTTGACCGCAATTCCGCGGCCTTTCGCAAAACTGACTTCGGTCATGGTTCTCATTACATTTATTTTACATTCATCGCCTCCATCTAGCCTAGCGGCCTAGCGAAGGCAAATGAAGGCAAGCATCAATCCCCCATCTAGCAGTTGGCAAATTGACGCATGGAAACGGCTCCCCTCCCAAGCGAAGCGTCAGCCACCACCAAATGTCCGAACACGGACCTGCTGTTCCCAAATGCAATTCACAGGTGCGGACCTTGGCAGTAGGCCAGGCCAAAACTAAGCCTATCGTTCCTGTATCTGTCCATCTTTACTTCTCCCTGCCTCGTGCAAAACCGCACGCGAAGCGTGTTTTTACATGCCGAGAAGCCCGCCCGCAAGACTATTGCATTTGTGGCCAAGCATTCCCTGGCCTCCAGTCAGCAGTCCAAGCTGGTGAACATGAATCTGCCATGGTGGCTGCTACTCCGGCCCCGTGGGAAGAAGTTTCTTTATGAAACACACTTATAGGGATGTGTATTGTGATGAAGAGTAAAGAGGCGGGATGACTTGTCAAGTAATGATAATTGCACAGCGGCGGCGGCGGACGACATCATCAGACGGATTATCGCTTGAGCTACTCTTCCACGTTTCTGCGGTACTTCGACTGAAGTTGTGGCTATAAACATGAAAGGGCCACCTAAATGGTGCTAAGCAATCAGAAGGCACTGTGTTGGAAGGCGGTCTTCCGAAATACCAAGCTGAGACAAAGACATGTTGTGTAACACGGAAGTCTCTCCTCTGAACTTCCTTTGATTCACTTGTTGGAAAGCTCTCCCCGTGCGCTGCGAGGCCCGCGACTTATGCCCCCGCGAAGCCAAAGTAAAGATTCTGAAAAACAGGCGCTCCTAGATAGCTAGGCGTCCGGTGGCAACAACAGCAAAGCCTGGTGAAGGAGGGAGTCGAGCTCTTCTGTAGAAATTGACCCCACGTACCTGAGCTGGATTGTTGCGGCCATATTGTTTGTTCAGACTCAGAAAGGGATGCCTTGCAAATGAAGATCATTCTATTTTGGACGAACAGGCTTTGATCAGAATCCTCACCATAAAATAGCGCCGACATTGGCAAACCCATGCGTCAAAGAACCCGTGTTCTCAGAAAGTTGCCTTACAAACCAGTCTTTCCCAGAAGCTAGCGCATTTGTAGTCCCTAATTAGGGAAACCTAGATTTTTTAAAGCATTGCAAACCATGAGAAGAACTATATATAGCACATATATATTTATATTTAATATATACGTACGTCTTCTCTAGCAACATAAGCTGTTTCAGAACCAATCAAATACTTAGCCTTGACTACCTAGGAATCATTTTCGGAAACACATCACGAGCAAGTGGAGCAACTTCAAATACCCTGAATACTTGAGGGTCCTTGATCTATTGATTGGTTACCCTCAACTTTTACCAAGAGCGTGAAAACAATCAATTCTACAGGCTTGCACCATCTCGATTGCTTGTTGCGTCTTGATGAATTCTTGAGAAACGTTTCCTTGGGTTGATCCAAGGCGCCAACAAAAAAAACAGAAGGGACATTGATAGCTGCAAGGGTATTGATTGGTGTGTGAGTGCAAAATATGTCATGTCCAATTAATGTCCAATTCCAACTTATCGGTAATGTCGGAAAAACAATAATTGACATTACCAAACGTGTTTACACGCTAACATTTCTCAAGGAACATATATAACTGCTCATGGCATCCCAAACCATTGAAATGGTAGCCCAGCAGACCACCGCCAACCCCTAGCCACTAGCACAAACCCATGGCCAGGGTCCATGGGAGCTAACCCATGTAGGCTTCACCTACCAAGTCTTCCACACCTCTCTGAACTTACTTGTGGTGCAGGGTGATTATTGTATACAAAATTGTTGATCAAACTGTGCCAAAATTGTTGATCAAACTGTGCAAAAAAAATTGTGGTCTTCCCTGCGTGTTTTCAACTGTCTGTGTCATGCCTGATTCACCCAAAGCAGTCAAGCATTGAATCCTGTCGCATAGACAAGTCTGTGCGTGATCTGTTCACGCCTTGAGGCGTGCGTCAATTCCAAATTCTAAAAACGGAAAGGGGCACCCCGTTTCACGATCCAAAGTTCACATGTTTGAGTGGGATGCTATGGTCCGTTAGTTCTGAACAAGCGAAATTTAATGACATTTCTTGCAATGAGTGCGTTTGGTGTTCTAGCTACAGATGTGTGCGTTTGGTGTTCTAGCTACAGATGTGTGCAACTGGCGAAGGTAAACGGGCTGAGGCTGGTAGCTTTGTCGCATCGTCGGTCTCAGGTCTTTGGATCATCAGCTGGCATCCCCTGCGCAGCCCGAACTTGGCAAGCGCTTGCTCCACTGTGACACGCTCACTTTAGGTAGTCTCTGCCAGGGCCACGGGGGAATTTTCCACAACACACAAAACTATAGGTTGCCTTGCGACCTGATGCGTAATGATTTGGGATGCAATATCCTGATCTATGAAGTGGTGACATGCAGTATGGCTAATTGCGACGACCTTTTTCTTTTCGACCTTTCAGCACGCCAGTCGTTGCTGACTGCAGGGCAGCCAATATGGAGAGCAGATTTCCGGGTGCAACACTGCATTGACACTCTGCAATTTGCAATTGCAATTAATTCATGTGTTTCTTTGTAGAGCCTGCCAGGGACAGGGACCCAGCTTTGGTGCAGGGGTTGCTCACACACGCCAATCCAATGGCTGCATATTCAAGGCTCAATCGTTTAGCTTGTCTCTGCGCAAGAAGATCATGAAGGCATCTTGGAACACCGACGGTGGGAGAGGCTTCAACTGTGGTACCTGATTGTCATCAGCGTGGTGCATTTGGGTGGAGCATCAAATGTGGCTGACAGGGCTCAAGCGCTGGCATCATCACATGATATGTGAAGAAGACTTGGGATCATGGTAACATCGTCTTGAAGGGCACGGTCCGGTTCAGTATGATGGTGATGAGCTGCAGTGTACCCGTCAAACCAGTGCGCATTCCCAGCGAATAAGTCCGGGAATCTATGATCTGCTGAAGCGTGACGTCTTTTTGATCTAACTCCACAAAGTTCAGTGTAGCATGAGCAGCTCCACTGCAGAGGTGACGCCATCCTCATGAACTCCCCGGCTTTTCATGCTCTTGTGAAATGTGAAGCGGTGGAGGTTTTTGGCCGACGCCCCATTTGATGTGAATGCAACTGGTCCGCACTTTCACAAATCGGTTACGCGCACTTCAAGTCGGCTCCTCTTGACCTTTCGAATATCCCTAAGGAACACCTCCCCCGAGAGCAGTCCAGGGTTGGTGATGGCCCCAGAAGTGACCTGGAGTGGGACACGCATTGGGAGACCCAGTATCAAGCTCAGCAGGATCCTGATAATCGACGGCGCGCCATCAACAGATTCTGCATTCAACAGCTACTTGATCGAGGGGCTGTGTGGGGAGAAGGACTTTGAACGAGGGCCACCCCCCCTCGTTTTATTGCCAAACATGTGTGTCCTGTTCAACATGCTAATCACTGCGCCGCCACGAAGCACAGCTCCCAACTCCACAAGCTTCATGGTCGTATCCACATTCGTAGGTCCAGGAGGTTTCGTTCGGAGCAGGACCGATTCGTTCTTCGTCAAACCTACCATCCGGCTCGAAGGGGTTTGGAGCAGCTAGGTGCACCGGTGACTTGGCCAAGTCTCCATGAGCTCAATCTTGCGCACATTCAGGAAGCCAAGAACTGGGTTGTTGCGTCCATCAATGAGCACACCCTCCAAACCAAACAGATGCGCATTCACAAATGGAAAAGCCGTCTCAAGCAATCCTCTACGTCGGGCTGCGCTTACATTTTTCTGCGCCTCAGATCTAGCCCTTGTCCAAGATGATGCCGGCAACATCATTTATCAACCGGATCTAGCCCTTCAGTGTCTCAACGATAAATGGGATTCCGTGTATGGGGCCAACACTCTCCATAACCACCCCCTCAAAATGCTGGAGACAGTGTGGCCTTATTGCCCGTTTCTTTCAGTGGGCGGAAGATACTCGGGGTGATGACTTGCCTAAGATGCTTAACTGCACAAAACAAATCATTCTCAACAAGCCCGGCCCGTCAGAAGCCATGAACAAAAGGCTCATCACCATCTTGCCTGCGCTGATCCTGTGTTTACACCGGAGCCAGATACGAGCAACTCCAGGAGTGGCAGAAGCTTGCAATGCCACCGGCCATCGGAAGCATTAAGACCAGGACGATGCCCCTCCTTCACACTGCGCTTCGGCTCGACATTGACACTGCTAAGCATGATTATCATGGCCTTGTAGGAGTTAAATTAGAAAAATGCATTGATCACATTTTGCCGCAGTACACAAGTGCACTCTTTTTCGGCTCTTGGCGGTTTTGTAAAACCTATTCGCAAAGCTTTATAAGAGCCTGCGTAGACATATATTATGTTATAAAGGGTGGATGAGCATCGATCCGACCACGGCGGCAAATGGAGTAGCGCAGGGCTGCTCACTCTCACTAATAGCTATTAACGTCCACACCAAGGCCTGGGTTCACCTCCTTGAGCATCTATGTCGACGATGCGTACATCTGGTGCCATGTTATCGATGTCGACCTCCTTTCCAGGGCCATCGAAGTGACTAAACTCTGGGATAAACTCAATGGCCAGAAGCTTAATGATGGCAAGTCAACCGTGTGGGGATTGTGACAACAGATCGGTCGTTGATTGTTGCAACTTGTTGATCCAAAGGGATTTGCCAGTGACCAGTGGAGGTGTTCGGACTGGTGGAAAGTTTTGAGGATACAGTGGATTCCAGCTCATGTCTGTGAAAATGTCTCAGCGCCTTTTCTCGATCCAGCAGCACTGCATCAATTGGGTGCGACAGTACAACATGTCTTGAGGAACCATGACGCTGGTCGTGCCGCGAAACAGACAGCTCGGTCCATCTCACCCATCCGACCTGATATGATCCCTGTCATGCATGCGGCAACCGCACTGCACCACGAATGGCTCGTCAAATTGCACTGCCAGTACAGACTAATTTAATGAGGGCTTCAAAGCGTCCAATGAGGGGCAAACTACTCTGCAAGAGATCACGGTTGACCAGGCGCGTGCTTTGTACCCAAGTTGGCCTTGGCAATCATGCTTTGCTCATTTCGGCTGGAAACCAAAAATCCCTCAAGGGATTCCTCCACCCAGACGGTGGAAACACCATCCCGAAGACTGGCACAATATTTGCAGTTTTTTGCGCTCCCTGCAATGGAGAGAACAGAAAGGGCAGGCGGTCGCACTTTGTGAGTTGGCCATTGCCTTCCACTGCGGAGGCTATACACTCAAAGGTGAGGACGACTTGCCTACAATCTACTCCACCGTTTGCCGCGTCCGGCAAGCTGTACAGGTTCTGTTGAAAGCTATATAAGATGACAGATCACAGCCTTGTCCAGGCTTCTTTTCAACCACCTATGTCAAGAGCTGTGGGCGTGTGTTGCCGCAAAGCGCAATTGTTGACGCCTTTCCGTTCATTTCTAGCTCGAACATTGTCTAGTGGGCCCGGCCGTACGATTGAGTCGTGGCGTGTGCCATTTTCATTTTGAGTGTGCTGCCATTCCGGTCAATGCATCGGGGAATCGTGCATGTTGGGACCAAAGAGTCCCGCATGCCATCGTCGCGCTCAGATCGTCCGATGAGTGAGGTATATATAGAGATATATAGAGTAGGCCTCAAACAAACAAAGTTACAAACACATATAAAAGGTAGATCTTTGGGGGGGGTAGCATATATATATATATAATATATATATATAGCTGCAAAGACTTCAAGCAGGTAGGCAAACAACTTGAACAAAGGATCTGAATCAAGCCTCGCATAGAAGAGGAAGGCTGGTGAAGCCCACAATCCCAATTGATGCGCCTTGTGGGCCTCCATAGTCGAGGTACAACGTGGCTTGATAGACACATCAATCACTGTATACAATGGGGCAGTTCAGCCTCTTGGTCAGCATCCACAAAGAAAACCTGCGTCAACAGGTCATGACATGCATCATGAACCATCATGAGTCTTCTCTTGCTGCAATCCATCCGTTTACTTGCACTTCTGACATCTAACGTAGACCACAGGTCGGACACTTGAGAGCTTTTGCCCTTCCTTAGCCCTTGACTTCAACACCATTTGCTGGCCCTGCAGTCAGGAGCTGTCTGACAGCCTTAGCTGATCGGTTTGCATCACGTCGCACATGATCAATCTGCCTCGTGTCTCCTGAGAAGATGTGTTGTCAAGAACTGCAATCATGGGCAAGCTGGGCAAGCAACCATTTGCGATGGGCCAAACCAGGTCTGGACAAATGCAATCACCTCAGGGCTAGTTTTGAGGTTCCAGGAAAGTGTTCAGATGCGATGAACCCTTTGAGTCAAGAGAACCATGATGCATAGTAGGTTGTTGTTATTCAAAGTCCAGCCAAGACAGTAAGTTGCTCTTCATAATCAGGACACATCTGTTCTACATCGCATCAAGGCTCTTATATGTTTCATGTGCGTCTTGCAGAATTGAGAAGCCAGCAGCTAGGGGAGCAGCGGTCGCACTATCCTCTAAATAAAGTGGTTCAGCTGTTGTGACAGTGCAAAAGTTGACAGATGAAGGAAGGACAAAGTCGAAGAGAGTTGGAAAGGAATTCATGATTGTGCCAGGGTCAAGTTGAAGCGCGCCTGAGCCCTAGCAAACGGGATGCATTCACCATCCATGGCAGCCATAGCTGCCATAAGCAAATGCAATCAGGCTTGCAAACGCACAAAAAGCTTGTAGATTCTTGGGCGACCACATTGAAACCAACAAGCATCTTGACTTTCTTTCCATGAGGCCTGAAATTTTATAGAGATGTGAGATGTGAGAACTCTCCAGGTCTTATTTTGGCAAGGAAAGTAGAGCTGTCTTGAAGTGACCCATACCTTGTTCAAGCTTCCCCCTCATCCATGCTAAACACTTGCCAGCTCAACTGAAATAGTCCAAGCCAAAACACAGAAAGAAAGGCTACAATCAAAGCTGTGTAGAGTATGGAGTCAACTCGGCATGCACCAAAGCTGGTTGTGGAAAACCCATGTGTAGTTTATGGCAAGAGCCTCAGAGTTCGCTCCAGTTTTCAATCACGCACCTGTTGGCTTCTGCACTCTCTCTGGGCCTAGACTCAAATTGTCAAACGGTTGCATCAGTTGGCATGGGGCAACAGCGCCCTTTACCTTAGAAGGTGTCTGGAGAGCCTAAACCAAAGCCTTCTAGCATCTGCAACACCGACAGACCCATCATTGAAACTGTCAACTGTGTAGACTAGGCTGTTGCGTCTTTTGCCCAAGCTCTGTCACTTTGCATCTTAAGGGCTGGACATGCCAGCACATCTTCCTGGACGTTTGTCCAATGTGTCAAGTCATCTTTTACAATGAGGTTCTGGTAGAACTGCTGCGCAAAAATGCTGCTGCCTGCGAAAACATGCGAAGTTATCCAAAGAGGACTTTTCAGTTTGAAACAAAGCTGTAGGTTACACTTTGGCTTTTGATGTTGTATAGTATCTAGTGCATCCAAACACTTCAGTGGTCTAAGAGAGGCACCAGGTGCTTCAGATGAACTGTGATGCAAGCAGCCAGTCTTGTCCGGTGGCATCGCACCAGGCTCTTCATCTGGAAGCGAAACCTGTAAAAAGGAGACGTCAGCTTGAATCTGCTGACACTCCGAGATGGACTTGGAAAGAGCTGCACCATCCTGGTAGGTAGCGTATGCGTCCAAAACACATTTGATTCTGATCAGTGCATGGTACTCCTGTTGCTGCTGCTGTGACTGTGACAATGCCGACTCCTTGGTCTGACCGGATGCAAAAAAGGCATTGTGATTTGACTCGTAGCATTTCACATAAGCCGCACAATCAGCCCTATGCGCGATCCTATCACATGCTGCATCTTCCACCTTTCGCTGTAAGTCCTGACAAAGGAGTTTCTTTGAAAGATAGGTTTCCTCTTTGCCACCCTGCCCATTCTTCCTGCGATCTTCACCGTAGCAATCTCGCAAAGTGTGGAGTTTCAGACTTGTCGCGTTGGCAGATGCATTAAATGCATGCTCCCATGAGATCAGTTGTGAGGCAAAGTGATCTCTGAAATGCTTGATGTATCCTCTTACGGTGTTGTACTGCAAAGAGTTTGCACGATGTGCGCAAAAGCCGCTGACGGGAAACTGATTCAGAGCGTCAAATGCTCCCTTTCGCTGTAGCTCTCTTGAACTCCTTGCTGCAAGCTCCTTCTCGCAAGAATCAAGAATGATCTTAGAGCCAGATTCCTCTAATCGGCAGTTTGCATGCACTTGAGCCAAGCTGTCTATTGATTGCAATCCTGTGTGCGAATCGATGTCATAGAGTCCTGAACATGACACAAAATCCGTCCATGCCTGATTGATGGTTTGCTGAGTCAATTTGGATTGGTTACGCACCATTGATTTCATCTCAGCCACCATTTTGTCGATGTCAACTACTGTCTCTGCCAATTCTGGTGTACCCCGCTGCTTCTCCAAAGCGAGCAGCGCAGTCTCAATGTTTTCTAAGCTTATTGGAATCTTGGATCGAAGGGCTGTGTGGCTTGATCGAGTTGATGCTGTTTTTGCAGCCATCCCGACCTCCAGGCTTGCAATGAAGAAAAGGAACAAGGAGCCATATGTGCGACACACTCTCGCGTTTGAGAGAGTGCCCTGCATTCTCATCTGAGGCAGCTCTGCTGCGACGACTTTGCTGTTCTGGAGCCAGAACAGCTATCCAAACCGAAAGGGGCATGCTCAAGAACATACAGTAACTACAGCTCCATTTGACAAATTCAGTTGATGATTCTCAGTCTTGATGATGAACCTAAAAAGGTATGCCGGTAAAGACCGTGCTCTTATGCAGAATGATGCCGTAAGTATGGTGCCGCTGGCAGGCAGGCTTCAAGTTTTAATCGCACACAGCCAAAGTCTACTTTCTCTTGATGGGGCATCATCCTGCTACTGCTTTGAGTGATGTCAAAGGACCAGTCCATGACATGTCTGAGCAGTTCAATTCACAGTCTTGACTACTCACATGTCGTTTTCTGCGTAATTCATCAGGTCAAAACAAGAATGTTGTGAGCAGCCGCCCCAAAATCTTCATGCAAACACACAAGCACAAAAATGGAACAAAGCAATGCTTGCGCCTGGCACTTGCACAAAGATATGCATTATTTGCACTCTTAAGCTCCGTGTCAACAACCCACCAGACCCCGGGCCCCAAGTTAAAGAAACTGCTTCAATTTCAGAAGTTCAGCTGGTTTCCTGTGCACTGATGTCTCCCCTTGCCGCCGATTGGCGTCCAAGCAATGGTGAAACATTGTATAAGTAATCATGAAATGAAATGTGTTCAAAAGCATGCCGGAGCAGGAAGGTCTTCTGGAAGTAAAGGATAACGCTCTTTGAACAAGCTTCGGACGCGCTGCATGCGCCTTTCACACCATGCGGTGCTCCCTCGGAAGTTCCAAAACGATGTCCCAACACCTTTGTCTTTCAGTGGGTCATACTCCAAATGTCCTTCTCTCTGCCATTTTGCATAGTTGTTGATCCCTGCAAGATCGTCTAAGAAAACCTCGCCGGCAAAATCGGTGCTGTAAGTGCAGGAGGATGATACTGACAAATCATCACACCTGCCGCCAGGATACTGCGTCATACATGCCTCGTCCTACAGGGAACGGGGTTCCTTCTGCACATGCATTTTTCGAAGTATGTGTGTCTGCTCTCAGAAGGAGAAGGCTAACAATAACCAGCCTTGATTCTGAAACTGAACACACATAGGCATCATCGACCTGATGATTGCCAAACTCCTGGTCTGCACTAAGTGAGTCAAGTGGCGACGCCCCTACCAGCCATAAGACGTCGTTTAAGCGAAATCCATCTCCCCTCCCAACACTGTAATGCTATCAGCAATCTGACACATACAAAGCTTCTGATATCCCGCAATCAGAAAACCTTCAATAATGCTGTTAAGGTAAAGGTATCAAGCAGGGAACCAGTTCACAATCGAGTCAGAAAGGAACATAGTTCTGTTCCAGTTTGTTTCCTTGACAGGTCTTGATAAGGAAATCTGGTAAAGAGCTGGAGGAAGCCTCTTACTGAGAACTTGCATGTACTCAGCAAGCATGAGGAAAATACAAAATAACAATACGGGGACATGTATATATGCTAACCCCCGCACCCCAAAGATCTACCTTTTAGTTTCCTCTCCGGAGTTCTTCCAAAGAGATACACATTTTGGGGTTGAAGTTCAGAAGTTCTGTGAGCAACCCATGCTGTAAAAGTGATTCATACAGCAAGGGACCAATTCCAAGATTTTCACCAACTGTCCTCCGCATAATTCCCAGTTCGCTGGGACTGTAACATAAAGGGTTGGAAAAAACGGACCCCAACTAAGATTTTGTCGGATTCCACTGGTGTGAAACTCCTACGTAGGCTAGGCTACTGATTCGATGCATTGAATGCAGCTGTTAAATAGAACAAATTTTACTATGAAGCAGAACCATTCCTTTCACAACTGTCAATTTTTGCAAAAAGAGGTTGCAGAAAATAGAGGAGCACATGATGCGAAACACATGTATACAAAGATGGTGCTATTTGGGTTTGAACATCCCAAACTAGAAGCAACAACGCCGTGCAACAAAAATGGGTTTATGTGGAGCAGCAAACTAATTGGCACGGACGCACATGGGTTTCAATTGGTCCCTAGATTTTGCCTGTACCGTCTGATAGACACACCGAACACACAAACAAACCCAAGAAAGAAGTGGTACCTTCTGAGTACATGATATGATATGTGATTTCCACCATCATTAGCTTTCTCCTGCGTTCAATGCTGCATAGCTTGAGCTGGGGGGCCGGAGCATTTCGTTCGGGAACGAAATTGCATATTCTGCATCACGAGGTGTGTCTGGGAGAAGAATCGGGGTGAGAGAAAACATTGACAAACACACTGTTTTTCATCGTATTATTTGCATCACCAAGTTCATGAAAACGAAATTTCTGCTTTACTTAGTACATGTTTCATGATTGCATCATTTGCGCCAGTTGATTGTAATGGCATCGCTTTTCGTTGTATATTCTATGTATTTTGCCACTGCTTTCAGAGTAACAATTTTTCCCGAAGGAGGTAGTGTTGAATACTATTTCGGTTTCTGAAACATGTACACATGGATATAACGTGGACCCTGTGAAACATGTGCAATTCCCAAGTGGTCGAAAAATAGAGTTATATATTCTGCAAAAAGCAACTGCGGGCCCCTGAAACATGTACAATTTCGAGAGGGTCGCAATAGTGTCTGTGCATTAGCAGTTCCAAACTGCCTATACATCCACGTGGCGGCTCATTGTGCAAAAACTATTTGGCTTTCAATGCATATGGATTTTTACCGCTGCGTTCAATTTATCAAGGCTTTCTGCGGTGGTGTTGCCGTAAGGTGGGAAGGGTCGGGAGGCGCTGAGGGTGTGGCCGGATGGACTTGGCCAGGCTGTGTAACTGGTGGAAAAGCCGAGAACGGTTGCCAAACTCCTTGGTTGGGGTCCCATTGTGCTTGTGTCGGCTGCGGTATCGGCTGCGGAGATGGTTGGGTGGCTGGGGCAGGCGCAGGTTGTGGTGGGGCTGTTGCTGGAGAAGAAGGTGGAATGGGTTCGTGTGGAGGTAAAGTGTATGGAAAAGGAACTGTGGGGTGGAGATGTGGTGCATGTGGTAGAGGTGGCGGTGATTTTTAAAATTGGGCCGTAGGCGGCCATGTTGGTTGCAGAAATGGTGGCATAGTGGCTGGCATGTGTGGAATCATGGATGGCATATGTGGTTGTGTCTGTGGGAATGGAAAAGTCGGCGCTGTTGTGGGAGGTGGCTGATGTGTCAGGTATGGGTAAGGCCACGGGATGTAGCAGCGGCAGTCCCCGTCAGCTGCAAAATGGCGCCAGCGCAGCGCTCCGGCAGCTAAGGAAATGGTAGTGAGATGAAATGAAAAGCCTGCGCGCAGTGAATCTACGTCGTGGAAAGTCAGTGGTGAAAATGTGATCATAGGTCGACTGTACACGATTGAAACTCAAACGCAAGCTGCAAAACAGGATGGTCAGTCGAAAATCTAGTGATTCAGTAATTGAGTAAGGTGGAACCGTATTAGCCCGGCGGCTCAAAAGGCAATTAATTCAGCGGTGAAAAGAAGTCGGTTAAGAGAATCCAACGAGTGGTGGAAACGAAAAAGGCTGTTAGTGAAATTCCTGCATGGCTTCGGCGCCCCAGTCACGCTATCACACCCAGCACCCAAGTGGGACGGCTGAGCGGTTCACACTCTGACATTGGTTTTCAGTTAGCTCAATTCCCACGTCGAGAAGGAAGGTGAAGGAACGGAAAGGTGCATGGGTCCGCAGAAAAGTATTGTTGAACAAGTGTTAATGCACATCTGCAATGACTCAGCGGCAGCTCACGAGCGGTGGAAACCTGTTTGGGGGAAAAAATCACATGAAAGACCATGAATCAAATCAAAGGATTGGACGGCTTGGTCAACAGCTTCATTGCAGGTACAAGAGCCGGTGTCCCAGCTCTCTTCCAACTGATTTCGTAGCTTCGTTGGCACGGATAGGAAATCAGTCGCGCCCCCTGCAGTGTGGCATGGACATGGAGAAAAGTAGTAAGACCCTTCGGCACAGGGGTTGACACACACTTCGAACTTCGAACTTGGAGTTTCAGTTAATGCGATCTCCCGAGGAAAGGAA